CCCCAAAACCCCAAAACCCCAAAACCCCAAAACCCCAAGAATGATTAAGTTGTTGAATCCAAAAATGCACATGGAAATGGTGGGTTTTATGCACCTTCAGAGGAATCATCATCCTTATCAAGCATCATTCTTTCGAATTCCTTATATGAAAGTTTTCCGTCTTTGGCTACATCATGTTGATCGAAGACCCTAGATAACTCTGATTTACTAATATTATTTCCAAATTTCTGAAAAGCTCCTTGAAGATTTTCCAGTGTGATATATCCTGAGTTATCCAGATCAAAATTCTTAAACAACGTAAGAAGTTTTGCCTCTGTCAAAGTTTCCTTTACGTTCAGGGTAGCTGCTATAAACTCACTATAGTTAATTTTCTGGTTTCCTTGTATATCAATTCCTTTAAAGATCCCGTCGATCTCGTCTTGAGAGATTTCTCTGTCAACTTTCTTCAGAGCCTTCGCTAGCTCCTCAATCTTAATGAACCCAGTATGGTCGGTATCGATTCTCTCAAACAAAGTGTTCAGATCTGAAATTTCTCTTGAAGTCATGAACTTGACCAGGACCTAAACTTTATCTATGAACCATACATTAATTGCCTTCTTCTTGATGATAGACCCTGTATTGAAATCCTTGATATTTTGCACAATCTTAAGATCAATTTCTTCATTTTCCTGAATATTTTTGATCGAATTCCTATCAGTGAACCAAGGATGCTCAAGACATTCTGCAGCAGAGCATCTGGTCTTGGGATCGGGGTCAAGCATCATCTTGACGAGTTCCATCCCGTTTTCACTGATACTGCTAAATTCCTTATGTGTAAAATTTAAGTCACAAAGTTTGATTTTCTTCAATACTGCGTTAGTGTTCTGACCGTTGAATGGAAGATATCCTCACAAGAGAATGTATAGTATTACACCTCAAGACCAGATATCACACTTAAGATCATACTTCCCTGCGATTACCTCAGGGGCGATGTAGAAAGAGCTGCCAACAATGCCACTAAACTTCTCATTTTCCATTTGCTTTGAGATCCCGAAGTCAATAAGTTTCAGATTTTTATCCTCTCCCAACATAATGTTCTCTGGCTTTATATCAAGATGTGCAATGTTCATTGAATGAAGGTAGTTTACAGTTTTGAGAAGGGTTCTCATAATTTTTCAAGCCTCATTTTCCTTGAATGAGCCATTCTCGCTGACTTCATTCTTTATGTAGTCAAACAAGTCTCCGTTTGGGCAGTACTCAGTGACGATATATACGTATTTCCGGTCCTGGAAAGCTTCAAAGTACTTTATGATATGTTTATGATCAAGTTTTTGTAAAAACTCTATTTCTTTCTTAACATCGGCAAACTTCATTTTATTATGCCTCTTGTTAAGAGCTTTAATAGCAAATTTGCTCTCAGGGTCATCAACAAGCTTGGCAAGGAATACCTTACCGAATCCTCCTGCACCTAGAACTTTTGGGCTAATATGGTATCTTTCCAGTGGGTTTAGGGATACTTTCTTCTCTTCCTTTTTCATTTGACCAATGATTTGGGCCTGAGTGGTTCTTTGGGTATCAACTTTTATTGAACTTTGTTTCTCTATTTGCAAGTTGTCCTCTTCTGATGAAAAAAATCAGCCCATTTTCTATTTTTATTATAAACGAAGGGGTTTTGGGGTTTTGGGGTTTTGGGGTTTGGGGGTTTTGGGG